GGCTCCCCTGCTCTTCCCTTCAACACAACGCCTGCAGTCAGTGCCCTGGAAGCCCGCTCGGCTCACGCCAGGCACCGGGGCTCACCCAGAGGGGCTTGGCCAGCATCCCATGGAAATTCAAATTCCAGCCTGGGCAAAGGCCCTTCCGGCAGGAGCGCTCCTGGCCAAGGCCACCGGCCCGGGCAAGTCAGAGCACTGAGCAGCCGGGGGCATTTTCAGGGGCATCCTGCCAGCTTTTATTCTCCAGAAACTCCAGTTCTTTCTGGCACCGCTTGCTTCAGTCTTCCCCTGTTGGAAGAGGTCACTTAGTCTTTCGAGGGGCCACATTGCCGAAGCCCGGCCAGTCCATTCCCGCAAGGAAAGGGCAGCTTTGTCTTGGACAGGACACTGGGGGGGGGGGGGGGAGACACAAAATAAAAGTTTAATTTAAAACTTCCCAGAATAGAAAGCAATTCAAACATAAGGCAGACAAGACCTGTGCAAAACTGAATACATTTGACTTCAAAGGACAATTCTTTCCCTCCGCACCCAACAGAATGTCATTGTCACCCAGGTCCTGCTCACCATCGGCCAACAAAACATGCTGACAAAATATTTCCTGATGGCAGTGGAGAGATATTGGAGCACACTGCACAGGGAAGCTGAGGCTGCCCCATCCCTGCAAGTGTTCCAGGCCAGGCTGGGTGGGACTTGGAGCAACCGGGGACAGTGGAAAGTGTCCCTGCCCCCGGAAGACAGGGTGGCCTTTAGAGGTCCCCTTCCAACCAAATCACTCCGTGATTCCCCTCCAAAAGAACTACCAAAGAGACACAGCAATCAAAGCGCAGGGACTGCACGTCCAGCTTTCCTTACCTGCAGGCACACAGCACGTTGGACAGAAAAGCCATGGGGTTAGTCCTGCCACAGGTGTCCGGCACACACACGGCAACCGAAGGAAAAGAGGAAGCCTGGGAACACAGAGCAAAAGACATTTCAGGAGGAGTACACTGAGCAACAGCCAGGTCATTCTCACACACAGCTTCACTGGCCAGTCACACAAAAAGCACTCCCCCAGGCCTCGGGTAGGGTGGTTCCTGACACTGACCATGCGAATCCCTCCATTTGCCCCGGGGTGTCAAGAATAACAGCCCTGGTAAGAAGTCACCCCCAACAACAAAAAGGGAAAATTGGTGAAGCACAGGGTCCTCTTCTGACTAGATTACCACCAGCATTCCATAGCAAATGACATGACTAGTCTGTCACAGACGAGAAAACCCTGTTCTCCCAAACAAACAGTGATGAGATTTAGGGGCACGCCTGAAAATTTCCTGTGAGAAATTTGTAACTAAGAAGAATGTGCTATCTTGAGCTGAAGGCATCAATGTGACAGACACTTAGTACAGCAAACTCTTCAGCAGAGGAATTAATTGCTGCCTATTTGAACAGTAGGTGAGAGACAATGACAGTCTAAGGGAAGACAAGAAAAGCAGAACTGTAATCAGCAGACTTTTCTTCCATCTCTCCCAAGAAAGTCCAGTTTATCTGTTCTAATTCTATGCCCTTTTCTACATGAAACTTAGACCAAGGCTGAAAAAACAACTAGAAAACACGGAAAGAAGCTTTCTAGAATTTCCCATGATTTTCCCAAACTGATCCCAGAAAAGCAGAACTCAGTACAGTGTACTCACCTCAGTGCATTCCGTCTTTTTCCATAAGCTTCATCACCTGATTGAAAAAGCAGAGTATACTTGGTATTTAGGCTCGCAACAGGAAACCTTCATTTCCTAAAAGAAACTGCATTAATTTGCACAGCTGCAGGTGTGTATCCAGATGTTAAAGCCTTTAAGCTTTTCAGAGGGTGAGAATGCCCTGCTAAGGAAGGCTGCCAAATGCTCGGACCCTGCACAGGTCCAAGACAACCTTGATTTTGTCTGTGTTCTAGTACCTGGCTAAAGAAAAAACCACACCACCAGACCGAATTCACC